ACCGGGTGGAGGGAGCTATGGGGGGGGGCGGGAGAGAAACAACTGTAATAATCTGAACAATAAAGATTTTTTTTAAAGGGGTATGAGAGAGGTTCATACAATTTTAGGCGGCCTGGACCCTGACGTTGCCTGTCCCCAGCCTCCCTCCCCTTAGCTGCACCTCTTGAAATCCCATCTCAGACTCAGCCCCACCCTGGGCTCTGGGGCCAGTCTCAAATATTAGCCTCCGAAGTTCATGACATATTTGCCAGGTCCCAAGACCAACTACTGACTAGGCAATTCTTGGGTTCTTGGGTCCTGTGTCCGATGTTGGAGAGAATACTCTGCACAGGCCACTCTAGTTGGGGTCGCTAGAAGAAAAAGCAGAATTCTCCAATGCTTTCAAAACCGGGGGATGCGGCCACCCTGTGCCGGCCCCAGCTCTTTCAACCCTTCTCTGAACCAAAGAGGGTCAGCCCTGCATAATTTAGTGCCTAAAATTCTCCAGACTTCTTTATCTCCCTGAGCCTGCAGATAGATAGGCCTCCAAACAGCAGGCACTCCATATATTTTTTTCTGTTTTAATTTATTTAATGTCTTGTTTCAAAAATCAAAGTACAAAGCCCAACTGGAGTGGCTCAGTTGGTAGAGCATTGTCCTATGCCCCAAAAGGTTGCTGGTTCAATTCCCAGAAGGCAAAAGATGTTTCTCTCTTACATCAATGTTTCTCTCTTCCTCTCTCTCTCTCTCTTTCTCTCTCTCTCATTCTCTCTCTCCCTCTCCCCCCATCTCTCTCTTTCCTCTCTCTAAGCATGTCCTCAGGTGAGGATTTTTTTAAAAATCGAAGTATAAAAAGGGACACAAGTGAGAAGTCTCACATCCCTGTCTCCAATCTGTCTAAACCAGGGGTGGGGAACCTTTTTTCTGCCAAGGGCAATTTGGATATTTATAACATCATCTAGGGCCATACAAAATTATCAACTTAAAAAATTAGCCTGCTACATATATTTGGTCAAACATTTAATTAACTCACCCCTAATGCCTTGGCAGGGCCAGACCAAATTATTTTGCAGGCCTTATATGGCCCACAGGCCAGACATTCCCCACCCCTGGCCTAGACCCCCTACATATTCTTTCAGATATTTCCTTGCATATATAAGCAATACTAGTAAAAAACATATTCCTCATCTTTTTTATAGAAAGAGGAGTAGGGTATTCTTTTTCTGTACCTTGCTTTTTTTTTTAAATTCTCACTTGAGGATATATTTCCATTGATTTTGAGAGAGAAACATCGATTGGTTGCCTCCCATACACGCCCTGACCAGAAATCAATCCAAAAACCTTTCGGTGCATGGTATGACACTCCCACCAACTGAGCCACCGAGCCAGGGCTGCACCTCCTACTTGATGCACTAGTTTTCTTTCTCTAAGGTGAAACCAATCCTAGAAGACCAAGATGGTATCTCGTAAGGGGTGGGCACATATATATTGCCGGAAAGCAACACCATGGCCCTGCCCCATGAGTTGCTGGCATCTTTGTGGGCATCAACCCCTGGCTTGGGGACAGGAAGGGATAGGCAGGCTGAGGGGATGGCAGGAATCCCCAGTGATAACCTAAGATCCTACAAAAAGTCTATTTTACCCCAGCCCAGGCCGGGGACCTTCAGCCCGCAGCTGAGACCAACCACCACCAGGGCTCTCCCCGGCTGAGGTTTCAGCCCTCTCTCTGCAGCAGCGGGCATTACTAGCACATGAAGGAGGCTACAGGTGAGACACTGAGAGCAGAGGTTGTGCGGAGACTGCCCAAGGGCACAGGGGAGTCCCAGCACTGGTGGGAGAGGAGGGAAGGGGAGCCAAGTCTGGAAAATGAGCTCAGAAGTCAGGATGCCCTCCCCGTAGAGCGCTATTCCTGGGGCAGCGCGGGCGCCAAACTGCCAGCTCTGAAGGCTGCAGAAGAAGGCAGGAGTGGAGGGCTGGGAAGCAACTGGGAGACTGTGACCTCACAACAACACCTGCACTTTCTCTATGACGCCAAAGAGGATCGGTTGGCTCTTAGGCTTGCAAGAAACAATAGAGCCTGGCCATTGTGGCTCAGTTGGTTGAGCGTTGTCCCATGTACCAGGTCATGGGTTCAATTCCCTGTCAGGGCACATCCCAGGTTTCAGGTTCGATTCCCAGTAAGGGTGTGCATGAAGCAGTCGATTGATGTTTCACTCTCTCCCTCTCCCTCGCTCTCTCTAAAAGCAATAAAAAACATATTTTTAAAAAAAGAAACAATAGACATCACTGTGCAAACAGGGTGTTCTCTCAGAGAAGGAGAGAGTTATAGCCCCTAGTTCCAGCTATGTGATCTCTGCGCATCCAGTTCCTCTTCTGAAAAGCAGGAATAAGGTATACTTTATATCACATCCACTTTATAACCATCAAGAGCATCACATGAGATATGCAGAAGCAGCCAAGCCCGGCAGGCATGACTCCGTGGTTGAGTGTCAACCTATGAACCAGCAGGTCACAGGTTGGTTCTAGGCCAGGGCACATGCCTGGGCTGCGGGCTCGATCCCCAGTGGGGGGCGTGCAGGAGGCAGCTGATCAATGATTCTCTCTCATCATTGATGTTTCTGTTTCTCTCCCTCTCCCTTCCTCTCTGAAATCAATAAAGATATTTTTTAATAATATACAGAAATGTCCAGTTAACACAGAAAAATGTTTAATGGCACTCACCATTGAGACAACAGGTAGATATCATTATTGAAGTTTTCAAAGATGCATAGCACTTTAAAAAGACATCGCTATGGGGGAACAAGAGCTCTCATATCCTGTCATTATGGGTACAAATTGGTACAACCTAAGGCAATTTAGCAACAACTATCAAAATGTTTAATTTCCAGTGTTCTACTTGTAAAAATTTATCGTACAAATGTAGTTGCATGAAATATGTAACAATTATAGCAATGCTTGGAATATTTTTTTAAGTAGTTGCATGAAATATGTAACAATTATAGCAGTGCTTGGAATATTTTTTTTTATTGAAAATGTCAAATACCCTGCTTTCCATCAGCCAGTGCAGTGCATCCATGCAACTATCTGAAAGGGCAAGAGTAGCTACACACACACACGGAGTTTTGTGAAATGATCCCATCTTTGTAAAACAAACAGGAAAAGACATACTTGTGCCCAGCTGGTGTGGCTCAGTGGTTGAGTGTCGACCTATGAACCAGGAGGTCACGGTTTGATTCCAGTCAGGGCACATGCCAGGTTTTCGGGCTCAATCCCCAGTAGGGGGTATGCAGAAGGCAGCTGGTCAATGATTCTTTCTCATCATTAATGTTTCTATCTCTCTCCCCCTCTCCTTTCCCCTCTAAAATCAATACAAATATTTCTTTAAAAGACATGCTTATATATGCTCACATATCCAGGGAAACTATATTCATGAGGAACTATAACAGTGGGAGCCTCGGGGATTAGAATTAGAGGTTTTGGAAATCAAGAAAGGGGTTTTGTTTTTCAATGTATACTATTTTACACTATTTTAATTTGGGGAGTTTTTGTTGTTGTTGTTGTTTGCAACAAGTATACCCTATTTCATTATTTTGAGAATCAATTTTTAAAATAATCCAGACCTGAGGGAAGCTGACCAGGAGGAGTGAACAGGAGGAGGGAAGGATCCCAGGCCAATCAGGGGACTTAAGACATGCTCAGTAAGTGAATAGGGAGCTTTTTGGGCCCTTAAGCACATGAGGGGTAGAAGCTGGCATCACTGCCCTTGGAATTCAAAACTGCACTACTGAAGCATGAGTGCTTACAAATGAAATGTTTCCGGAAAACTCTGTGCAAATTATGGGGTACTCTTGCAGGGAAAGGATGAGTCACGTGCCTGGGGTCTCCAAGAACTTAGGAGAGCTCAGGGCCAGTGTCCTCGAGCCGCCACACAAAGAGCTCGGGAACCTCGTGCGCATGGGGGAGTGTGGACAGGTTGGAGGTACAGACCGGAGCTTGGGACACTGTACCTGTGATCTCGTGCTGCCGAAGCTCATTGTATTTGTAAGACTGCTCCAGGGGCTTGATGGACGAATGGTAGATCTTTCGAAGCCGCTGCAGCACCGCTGTGGACAGAGGAGGGTGAGGGAGGGGGACGTCAGGTAGGGCGCACTCCAGACTGCTGACCACTGTGGACCAGGTCCCTTCCCAGGGCAGCTCTAGCCCTGCCTAGTGGGGAGCAGGGAATATCTGCAGCCCAGCAACTGTCCATATATTAGCATTCAAGGAGGAGCTGGTCCACATCTCCACCCTCAGAAATCTGTAAACCCAAGGCGTTCCCTCCCCATCCCCTAGAGCTGCCTTTCTTTTTAATCTAACCCTCTCCGCCCTCCCTCTTCAGTCCCGTGCCCTGAAGCACCACCTCAGCCTTCAGGTAACTGAAGGCCCTTTCCATGGCAGAGAGGAACCCCTCTCCTCTCTGCCTCCACCTCTACTTGTGTTTGCCTTAGACTCAGAGGGCAAGGAGGTATGGCGCTAAGCAGCCCGCAGGGCAGGTCAGCCACCCTGCCCTCTACCCTTTCACTGGTCCCTCTGCTTGGATTGCCTTTCCCCCTTCCTGCCAACCCAGAGCCCCAAGGCCTTGGACAGTACCCCCTCCCCCGCCCTCCCCCCAGAGGATGCAGACATCCCAAGCACCGTGTTGGGAAGAACATGACTCCAGGGAGAGGTGACTCACAGGGGGAGGCTGAGAGCTCAAAGGTGGTGAAGCAGAGTGTGAGGCACAAAGGGGGGGAAGAGGGCCTGACCCTGCCTGCTCTGAGCTTTCACTAACTCAACTAAGAGGGACCGTAAGCTCCGCGGAAAGCTTGGGTTATTATGAGGGTGAAATGAAATACTGGGCACGAAAGGGCTTTGTAAACTGTAAAAAAACAAAGCAAACGTGATGAACTCTATTAACGCCCCTCCCCAGCCACAGTGGAAGCTGGCACCATCTCAGACACGGCACTGGGTTCGTCCTTTACCCTTTCGCTGCTAATCCCGTTGTTTGGGTTGCCTTCCCTCCTCCCTGCCAATCCAGAGCCCCCAGGCCTGGACGCTGCTGGCAGAGTCTCCTCCACGAAGCCCCCCACCTCCAGGCTTTCCTCCCTGGGGTGACCGCTGGCCTCAGAGCCCCGCCCCTAGGCCTCCCAGCCCCAGCCCCAGGCCCTGGGCCCTCTCCCTCTGGTTACCAGAGTAATCGTCCGCTGGCTTGTCCTCGACCAGCATCAGCGTTTTCTCGATGTGGGAGCGATCCCTCAGTGGGGCTTCTTCGCTCACATCCTCGGCCTCTTCTGCGGACAGAAGCAGAGAGCAGGGTTAGAGCGAAGCTACGAGCCAGCTGGGCTCTGAGCCCCCTAGACATGGACAAGGGCGGGGTCTGAGGAAGTGCTGACAGAAAGTTTGCCAAGTTCAACTGAATGGATTTCTGTCTCTAAGAAGAACTTTGAAAATCTCAACTCAACACCTGCGAAGCTCTGTGGCCCAGTTTATGTATTCAGCAAATGTCGATTGGGCAGGTGTGATGTGCCAAGCACTGAGCATCATGCTGGGAATACGGAGGTGCCCAAAACAGACACAGCTCCTGACCGTGTGTCGATTTCCTACAGTCTAGTGGGGCAGGGGGAGAAATCATCTTAAAAGTAATGTAATCATCATAAACAGGAATGTGGCCATAGAAGGGAAGATTCCAGAAGCTGTGAGGGCCTAAGAAGTGTGTCTAGGACAGGGGTGGGCAAACTTTTTGACTCGAGGGCCACAATGGGTTCTTAAACTGGACCGGAGGGCCGGAACAAAAGCATGGATGGAGTGTTTGTGTGAACTAATATAAATTCAAAGTAAACATCATTACATAAAAGGGTACGGTCTTTTTTTTTTTTAGTTTTATTCATTTCAAACGGGCCGGATCCGGCCCGCAGGCCCTAGTTTGCCCACGGCTGGTCTAGGAAGTCTTAGCAGGGGATTAAAAAACTTCCCAGAAGGGCCACTTATGAGCTACGCTCCACTGTGTGAGGAGTTAACTAGGTGGAGCTAGGGACAGGAGACAGGAGTGGCTTAGCAGGAAGGGTGTGTGCTATGGGGCAGGAGAGCTCCGCTGGGGCTAACCTGGAGGACCATGGGAGTCTGCATTTCGTCCTAGAAGTACTAGAAGCCAGGGAGGGATTCTAAGCAAAATAACCTGATCAAATGAGCACGTGATCATATGGATAAGGCTGCCATGAGGCATGCGCAAGAGGAGCCTCTGGGCGGAGAGGGGTTCAACTGTTGCCTCTGACCAAGCAAGAGATGCCCATGAAGTGGGATGGCCTTGAGCCTGTGGGGCAGAGGGAGAGTAGTCCCCCCAGGGATGGAAGCAGAGAAGATCATGTATCTTGTGGAGCATCTCAGGACCCAGGCAGCCCCACCCCAGACCCAGGACAGGGAAGACAGGATGAGGGGAGGGGCTGGCTGACTGCCAGGGCCCCATAGAGGGTGCAAGCAGCTGATGAGAGATGAGAACTGAATTCTGCAGGGAAACCGGGGGGAAGTCACACTGGAAGGATGGAAGGTGAAGACTGATCCCAGTTCCTTCATCCTAAAAGCCCAGCTCTTGGTCCAGGTCAGCGTCCCCGGTGGATGCAGCCATGGCATCCTGGCCATGCCTAGGATTCGATACCCGCTCAGTGTTGCCCGTTGGCTTTGGCCCTGCCCTCCTCCTTCCCTATTCCCCGGTCCGGAGACAGCAGCTGCTGCTTCACGGGGACATCCGCGGGACATCAGTGTCAAGGCAGCCTACGATTTCTATTGCAATCCTGACCCCAGCCCCACCTGACATGGCCTAGTCTTCAAGGGCAAGCCCCAGGTGTTAGCCCACTGATGTGGTCCCTGGGGGGAGGGGGGTCCCAACCTACATCCCCACCCATACATCTCTTCACCAGCCTGCACAGGGTCTCTAACCCTGCCACCTTGTCCTCCAGGCTAAGGCACTGGTTGGTGATAAACTGTATCAGGGATCCTAAAGGGCAGGCTCCCAAGGACCTAACCCAGAAGCGACCAGGTTCCTCTAGGCCCTTCATGGCGTGACCTCTCACCGAGTCCCTCCAAACTGGGAAGAAGTGGCTCATGAGCAGCCCGAAGGCACCCCCTGGGCCTGCGACACTGGACCAGGCCTCCACCCCCTACACCCGGACTGGCTGGGGCTCTCCCGCCCCACCCTGTCCCTGCCTGTCCCACTACATACAAGACTTCCAGGAAGAATGCAGCTGCCCAAGTGCCGGAGCAATTCTGGGGTCCCCTACCCTGAGCCCCCTCCACGGGCTCCTCTGCCTTGGCCTCCGGGACCTCGTCCCCCTCGGGCCCTGGATTCGGTTCCTCCGAGCTCTGCTGGGCCCCCTCGTCCCCAGGGCTTGGGGCTCCTGCTGCTTCCTGGGGCTCCCCCGCTTCCTCGGAGGTGCCCCCGGATTCCTCTGAGCTAGCCCCAGAGCCGCTGTCCTCTTCTGATTCTTCTTGGGATGGAACTCCTCCTTCCTCGCCTCTGCTGAGGCCACCACCCTCTTCCTCAGAGGATGCAGCTTCCAGATCCTCCTGCAACATCCCTGGCGCCTGGCCCTCCAGGGGGCGGTCCTCCTGGGTGCCCCCTGTCTCTACAGCTGGGCCGGGCTCCCCCTGGTCCTCAGGCCCCTCCCTGGCTTTTGTGTCCACGTCCATGACTCCATCTGGCCCTTCTGGCCCCTGATCAGGCCCTGGGATGCCCTCGCCTGCTGTCTCTACTGCCACAGGAAAGGCCCCTGTGCCTTCAGGCTCTGCAGTGCCCGCAGCTGCTCCCTGCGGAGGGCTGTCCCCTAGGACCTCCTTGGCTTCCTCAGTGACCACGCCATTCCCAGCCTGTCCTTCCGCCTCCTCTGGTGAGACCTCTCTGGCACTGAGCTCTGGCCTCCCTTCTTCCCCAGTCCCCTCTTCCCCGTCTGGAGGGAGGGCGCTTGCTCCTGGTAGCTCCACAGGGTCCCCGGGGGGAGCTGAGGCTGAGGCATTGGAAAGGCTGGCGTCAGGGTCAGAGCCTGGGCTGGGGGCAGTGGTGGAGGCCCCTGTGGCAGTCTTCTCCGAGCTCTCAGCCTCCCTGCCATCTGGGGAGTGAAGGAGCAGGTTCTTCTCTTGAGGGGCCGCCTCTGCATAAAGCGCCCTTTCCTTCTCCTCTAGACTTGCATCTCCAGCAGAGAAATGATTCTCCAACAAATTGCCAACATCTTCTGTGCCACCCGAAGCAGAAACTTGCAGTTCTAAATGATTAGAACACGATTGGTCAGTTTCACAGGGTTGGCACTCACTTTACTTCTCAAAAGAGTCTAACTCAACCTAGCTCCTGTCTTCCGGGAGCGAGGTGTGGACCTGGTATCGGTGGCATCTCCCTCCCAGGTCTTCACAACTGCCCTGGGCAGCAAGCAGGGCGGGTGTTACTCTGCCCCCCTCCCAAGACATAGAGGCCGTGGCTGGGGAGTTACAGACCCCACTGTCTGTCACTGCGGGACTGAGCGGCTGACACCCGTTCCCCAGCTCCTCCCCTGACCCTGACAGCCTCTCCTGGTGACTGTGTAGGGATGGAAACTGGGTGAGCCCTTCCAGTCCTTCCTCAACCTTGCCGCAGGCACGAAGGCACGTGTAGCCTGGCTCACCAGGAGATCTTTCCAAGATAGGACAGATGCCCTGTCAGTTCCTAGAGTCATTAACTAGCGTGCTTTTTATACTGCTATCAGCAAAGGAGTGCAAACAGGTGTGTGCGGGCCAGATAATCTTAGGTTACACGGCAGAGTACTTAGGGGATTACTTGTGGCTCTCAGCCTTATTAAGTCACACATCCAACTCTGTCCCCTTAAGGGCAGGCATTTGCTGGCCTTGCTACCTTAGATTAAAGAGGACGTGGTCAGAGGAGAGAACGATATCCAAAACTAGAAGGGCCAGGGCTTCCCGGTGGCCTTAGCCAACCTCTTCTGAGGGTATCCCCTTCTAAAGCTGATAGCTTTACCAGGAAGCTGAAGGCACAGGGGAAACCCAGCAGGAGAGAACAAAGTAGGGGCTGAGTCTGTGCTGCTAAGACCTCTGTCAAGGGACACGTTTAATTTATGTGGAAAATGGGGTCAGAAGTGAAGGTCGAGCCCATTCCTTCTGCCCCTCCCAACCAGACTGGACCTGTTTAAGAAGAAGGCCTGTGGTAGGGGGACCCTGCTGGCTCGTGGGGACGAGGAACCATGGGGCCCTGCCCTGGGGCAGCTGAGACAGCCCCTGGGCTCCCTTGACTCACAAGGTTCTTTCTGAGGAAGCAGCCCGCTCCTCTCTGCTGAGTACAGACACCCTCCTCTCTTGGGCCACAGCCTGGTCTTCCCATCTTTGCCTCAACAAAGAAAAGCCACTTTTTGGGGTACCTCTTCTGCCTGGGGGTACGCACACAGTTTGTGCCCTGAAAGCTGGGGAAGCCTCCAGGGACCAAGAACAAATATTTTCTCATTAGTCCCCACAGATGCAACCTATGCTGCTATCAAATTCAGAAGAATGGGAAGTTTGGGCACCTTTTATTATAAAGGAGCCCCATATATTGATATAACACTTCCCCAAGCACTTTCACATATATGGCCGCATCCAAACCTCCCTCATCACTGTCAGCCACATTTCAGAGCCGAAGGTCCAGAGAAAGTCTTTGACTCGCCCAAGACACCAGGTGTCTGGCTAGTGGGTGACTGGAACCCAGAACTGCTGCTCCTTGTCCAGGCCTTGTATGCCACGGTGTGTAGGGAAGCACAGGGCTACCCCTTCCCACGGGTATCTCGCCCTTCCCTGCCTGCAATTCTCTCCTGGCTCACACTCCAGACCCTTCCCGGCTCCGAGGTTGCAGGAAGCAAGGTTTAATCCTCCCTGTGTTCCCAAGGCTGGGACCCTGCCTGACCCAGGGAAAATGCTATGAGGAGGCGAGATTTAGGTACAAGAAGAATTCATCCCTTAGTGAGGGACCTGAAGGTTACTCATTAAAATTTTCTTTCATTACCACCTGAAAAACCTATATATCCTGATTCCTTTACCTGCATATCTATCCCCCCACCACCACCCTCTATGGCAGGAACTTGGTTTAACCCAAGGAGACAAAGTCTCTGAGCAGCAAGATATATATCAAATGAGATACATTTGTATAACTATTCAATGTGCCAGGCAATGCTTAAGCACTTATTTATTTTATTATTATTATTATTTAATCCTCACCTGAGGATATTTTTCCTATTGATTTTTAGAGAGAGGGAGAGACAGAGAGAAATATGGATGTGAGAGAAACACATCGATTGGTTGCCAACCACATGAGCCCCGACCAGGGCCCAGGCCGGGGAGGAGCCTGCAACAGAGGCACGTGCCCTTGACTGGAATCGAACCCAAGACCTTTCAGTCTGCAGGCCGATGCTCTATCCACTGAGCAAAACCAACTAGGGCAATGCTTCAGCACTTGATATACAAAACATTAATTTACTTGATCTTACTCAACTTACTAAATCTTACTTGCTCCCATAAAACAAGTCTTACTCTTAGCCCCATTTTATAGATGAGGGGACTGGAATCAGAGACGCTGGATGCCTTGCCCAACATTACACAGCTAGCATCTGGCTGAGGCCATTTAACTCCAGAGCTGCAGAGGAGATTGCCTACCCTGGAGAGGGTTCAAATCCGCCTGCCCAGAGGGTAGCATTCAAAGCATCGGCACCACCTGGGGACCTGGTAGAGATGCCGATTCTCGGGCCCCAGCCAGACCCACTGAACCAATGCATTTTAACGATCAGTTTTCACATTACAGTTTGAGAAGCTCTGGTCTACAACACCTGGTAAAACTACCTCTAAACCAATGTTCTCGGCACTGAAATCCTCAGGTTCTTGGTCCCATTCCTCTCCCTTTCCTCAAATGTTCTGACTGAAGTAGGGTATATCCCCAGCATCAGCACTTTAACAAAAAAGATCGTGGATAATTCTAATGTGCAGCCAATGGTGTAAACCACTGATCAGCCAAATAACCTTGGCTCTGAGGCTTCCGCTCCCAGCCTCTCCCCACTCATGTGCACACTGGGGCCTCCCAAGTTGGATGGGTTGCCTGGAGCTTGGCAGGTGACCAATAGCAATGGCCAAGGCTTCTCCTCTGGGGAATACATTCCTTTCCACGGGTCCCTGTTGCCCCCTATCAATGACGATGATGACCATAACGATGGTGGTGGTGATGATGGTGGTGATGGTGATGGTGGTGATGATGGTGATGGTGAGGGTGATGCTGGAGGTGAGGGTGATAATGATGGCAATAATGATGATGTTGGGCAGAAAAGAATGAGTCTGACCACTTGTGGAATTTTTAATATTCTCAAAATATCCTCTGAACCTGATGGGGATGAGAGGGCTGTATAGTCCCAAGGGAGATGAGGACCCCAGACTTTGGGACTTTACCATGACCTTCACACTGTTGCATATTTTCATTCCTAAGCAGGAATAGAAGACAAGTGTGCGCATGTATATACACACTTGACTCGTCCCTGGTTCTTATAACTTAGTGCCAAGCTGCCCCTGACCTTCTGCTAAGCAATTTGGAATGAAAAAGACCAAGGGTGATGGCTTCATGCCCAGTGACCTTCCTTCCTGGGCTAAAAATAATTTCTCTGACACAAAGTCTCTCAATGAAACAAGCTGTGCCATTGGGCCCCAGAGCTCGATCCCCCAGAAGCAGCTGTGACATTGGGCCCAATCTCTCCTCTGGGAGGCACAGTCAGAGGCATAAAGAGTCTCTGATTAAGCTCAGTTCAATTCTATAAAATCAAACAGTGCCTTCCTGATCTCCCTAGCATCTCACTGAAGCCCCCCACTGGTCCCTAGAGGAGGAGGTGGGGGACCGAAGACCCAGGACACCCTGGATGGGTTAAGAGCCTGGTAAGATGAGCCTTGGTCTATCCCAGGACATGTAGTACCATACTGTATGTGCTTCTGCCAAGGCTGCCGCCCCAGCTCCACATAGGCCTGGGTGCTTACATCAAGGTACATGAATAGCAAGCCCCCAGCTCAACCATGAAGACCATGGGAATACCCGTATGCCTGAGAAGCTGGTGCCCTGAACATAGCACAGCATATACCAGTTCTGCTTTCTCTCCCAACACCCCTTCTGCCATCAGCCTTTTTGGGGGGATCAGCCTCAGCCGCTGCCCCCACCCATAGTCTCAGCAGTAGCCTCAGGCTCAGTTCCTCTTTCCTCTACCAACCAAACATCTGATCATTTCCCAGCTTCTAACTCCTTCCAAAGCACTTTTCACATGGACTCAGCTAACCCTGGAGTTGCCAAAGGCCTTGGTGGGTCCAACTGTAAAAGAGGAAGCTCTGGCCAGGTAGCTCTGGAGACTTGCCCAAGGTCAGGGGTAGAATTGAGACAGAGCCCAAATTCATGGCTCTCAGTCTAGAGTTCTTTCTGCTCTCGGGTAGTTTGAAAACCATGTCCCATGAAGGGAAAGAGGTCCATTGAAGTGACTAGAAGATGAGGGATGACGAAGGAGCTGGGGTTCAGTCACCCACTTTGCACTTCCTGCCCAGCAGCTCTCCCTGGGTCTGTCTATCTCACCATTTAAGGAAGGGGTAGGTGGTTGACAACTACTGCTCTTGTCTCCCCCACTTATTCCCTAAAAATTCCTCTAGCTTCCTCTTGATCATTTTCTCCAACATTCCAAGGAGCTCCCCCTTATAGCATCTTTTCATTTTAATCAAACATGTCAGGCATTGAGCTAGATGATGTCTTGCCTCCACATAGAACTTCATGCTTTCCAAAGTTATTTCATGTTCTTCTTTCATCTTCCTAGCAGTCTTCTGAGGCAGAGAAAGCAAGGATTATTAACCTCCCTTGAAATGAGGAAGCAGACACAGGAGAGTCAAGGTATTAGCTCAACAAGCCATTCCCAGAATGGGCTAGAACGCAGGTCAAGAAACAAAACAAAGCTCCCTGGCCCACGTGGAGGTGGCATCTGAGACCCGAGAGCTTTCCAAGCATAAATGCCCAGGCTCCAGAGGTGGGTCAGTGTGAATCTGGTGTTTCACAAGGTGATTCTAACGAACGCCAACATTTGAGAACCATGATTCTGAGCCACCTCAGTACCAAGTGTCAGAGAATTTGTCTTGAGGTCAGGAGAAGAGAGGTTTATTCAGCATAGAGTTCTGTTGACCTGTTTTGAGTCCACATCTAAGCACTGAATTTATTCCACCCTGGAGGAACAGAATATAAACTCAA